AAATTAGAAAAAGCCCAGGTTTAATAAATACTAATGCTCCAGGGTGTCCTTCTAACCCCCAGAGAGGAGACTGGGAAGGAAGACCAGGAAACCACACGTTTTTTCTCTAGGGGGCTGTTTAAATGCCCTGTGGGAAAGGTCTTGAGCATCTCTGAGTAGGGGGGGTCTTCGTTTGGCGGGCTTTCTCGGGAGTGGAGTCTGGACTTAGTCAACTCCTAGGGGAGGGGGCTTGGGATGGAGCTTTCACCCTAACATTCCAGACTCTTTGGACATAGGGATGCCAGGGACTAGGGTGAAGCCTTAACCCAAACATTCCAGACTCTTTGGGTATATGGATGCCAGGGTCTGGGGTGACGTTTCCACCCAAACAAATATTACAGGACACACTACTGAGCATATTTACATGTATGCATATGGAATGTCACGCATGTAATTTCTTTTTGTTCATGCTAGGTTTTCAGATTTGATTGCTTCTTAAAAGCAAATTTTTACATAATGATGACCATTATTTATACATACTTAATATTTCTCTTGTGTATATTTTAAGAAGAATGCATAACTGATTTCCTAAAATGTTAGCAAACATACCAATAGTTTATAAAACAGTGAAGTTTTCTCGGAAAGCCCTGGGGAATTCTGTGGGAAATGTTTGCTTGCTACAATGGACACAGGCCTGAGAGACAGCTGGGTGTGGATTATGACATCAATCCTACTGCTTCTTGGCTTGTGTCACTGTGTGACAGGTGGGAGAGAGCACTAGCAGGGCTCCTGACAGGGTCAGGAGAGGTAACGACTGTTGTGAAGCACTAGCTGAGCATCAGTAGAAAGAAAGACAGAGGAGGAACTGGCGGGAAAATGGAAGGGATAGAGGGAGGAAGAGTGAAAGGGAGGGAGGGGGATTCAGTGTTAGGGAATTCAGGGTACCAGGGCCCTTCCTTCCTTTCAAGAACAGGAATAGTTACCATGCCCATAATCCACCAGTCTTGGACTGGAGAGATGCCTCAGTGGTTAAGGACACTATTGCTCTTCCACAGAACCTGAGTTCAATTCCCAGCACCCACATGGTGACTCATAGCCATCTGTACTGGGATCTGATGCCCTCTTCTATCTGATACTCTCTTCCATCATGCATGCATATATACAAATAGAACACTCATATACATAAAATACAAAATAATAAATCTCAAAAGATTTTAAAAAATAATACAACGGTTTCATGCTAGTTTCTAAGCCATTGGTCTCTAGATTGCTATCACTCATGCAAATTTATTCTATGTTTTCTGTATTTTTAGCATAAGAACAAAGACAAGTCAGACTGCCTAAAGCACTGAGATGTTTAGAGCCCTCTGTCCACAAGAAGGTCCATCCAATGGAACATCCTTGGGAAGAGTGCCCCTGATGTAAGCTACTGAGGCTGAGGGCTGGGAATGGAGAAACGAACTTTTCGCTTGCTAGTCTCAGAATCGTATTGTTTCCCTAGAACACAGTGGAAATGGCTCCCACCTGGGGCACTGAAGCGGGAGAAAGGCAAGAATACTAAATCATCCTTGTCATTCAGTGTCACACATGAGTTACCCTAGCTTATGTGTGACATAACACATAAGACAACAGGATAGAAGCGGTGGTCGTTATTTTCCACTTAAGAGCATTTCAAATCATCCAGGAGATACATCTGGGTGTGTGTATGTGAGGGCATTTCCAGAGTGATTAACTCTCTCTCTCTCTCTCTCTGTGTGTGTGTGTGTGTGTGTGTGTGAAGGGTGTTGTCATCATGACCGCAGTACTTGACAGAAACGTAGGAAGAATGATGTATGGCCCAGGGATTTCAGTCCCCAAGGCACAGAGGAGTAGATCGGCTGAAGTATGTGGCACAAGCTGCTCTCATCACAGCAAACCAGGAGGCAGAGCGAGCAAGAGAGGCGCTAGATCCAGACTATAAACTTCAAAGTGTGACCCCAGCCCATGCCCGCTTTCTCCAGCAAGACCCCACAGCCTCCTAGAATACCACCAGCTGGGGGAAAACATCCAAACAGCAGTCATAAAGGTACAGTCAGAATCAAATTATCACTGAGATGTTTTCAAGATGCACGCATAGATGTGGATGAGGGAAGGAGCACCAGATGCCTCAGAGAAAAGTGAGCTAGTCCCCTCCTCCTCATTTATTAGGGCTTCGTTTTTTATTGACCTTTACCCTCAGGCAGGCTGAAAGAATTCAGTTTTGCAAGGAGATGACCAGTTCCAGCGTGACCTAACACTGAGGCATTTCTGAATGGGGACAGTGTATGAGCCATGAGTGGAGAGTTACTCACGTCAAGGACCAGGCTATGACTATGGGTTCCCCTCCATTTTGGATGCTATGTATTTAGAGGAATATCTTGCCTGAGTGAGCAGACAGACTGTTACATGAGGTAAGGGCTTGGGAGATGATTTTAAAATTAAAATTAAAATCTATGAGATGCAGCTAAAAATGTTCTTAAAGGAAAGTTGACATCATCACATGTTTATAGTGGACAACAAGAAATATCCCAAACCTTTGAACTAAATCTCCGTCTTACGAAACCAGGAGAGAAAAAGCAAACATTAAGAGGGAAACAAAAGCCATAAGAGTTGATGCAAATCAAAAGAGTAAGATAATGGAGAAAAATCAAGGGATTACTAACTACCATTGAAAGAATAATTTTTAAAAAGGCAAAAATATGGAAGGTGCTAGAAAGAAAACACTCGGAAGAGAAAACCTAACAGTAGTTTCCAGGGCCCTGGGGTTCTGAAGACTTAGCGTAAGAACAACAGGGCAGGCGGAGTGACAGGGAACTACATGGATCGAAGACCCCTGCACAGTGAGCTGTGTGGTTGAACCTGAGCAGAGCTGTAAATTACAGGGATAAACGCTTCTGCATAGAAATTAAACCTCAGGAAACCTACCTCACTTTCACTCTTCAACTTTCGCTCTACAAAGATCTTAAAAAAGACTTTTTTTTTTTTAATGTGCTAGAACAACACAGTGAAGACCAGGGCCAAGTGAGAAAAATCTGGTTAAGATGGAAGGACAGCTATTTAGTCCAAGAAGAGAGGAAAGTAGAAAGGAAAGTTTTCATGAGAGCACAGAATCCATCAAGCAGGTGAGGATGCCCACATAAAAACAAAAGCATCTTCACTGTATCCGGGAGATTCAGGAATTCAGAAGATGCATCTTAAGAAATGTTAGCCCATCTACAGACACCCTAGACCTGAGGCAGCTGGAGAAGTGCCACATGAAAACCTTGGCAGAATTCCAGGCACACCTCCAGATGGCTGTGCTGGCTATTTTTATGTCAACTTGACACAAGCTAGAGTCAGCAGGGAAACTGAGAAACTGAGAAAGATGCCTTTGTAAGAGAGGCCTGTGGGCAAGTCTGTAATGCAGTTTTTTGATTGATGACTGATGTGGGAGAACCCAGCTCACTGGGGACACCACTCCCACACAGCCACATCCCACATTGAGCAAGCCAGTGAGCAGCATTCCTCCATGGCTCTGCTTAAATTCCTGCCTCCAGGTTCCTGCCTGAGTGTCTGCCCTGACTTCTTTCATCAGTGGAGTATGACCTGAGAGTTGTGAGGTGAAATAAATGCTTTCCTCTCCTAGGTGTTTCTGGTCCTAGTGTTTGATCACAGCAATAAAAATCCTAACTGAGATCAAGGCTCTTCCTGGAGCACAGGCCCTGAACCATCCTCCTCATTTTAGTGTGAATGGAACTTAAAAATGTGGCCAGAAATCCCTCCCAAGGTTGGAAGTCTAGTCAGCTGACTGGGTGAACAAGACCTAATCACTTGTGCTTAGAAGGGTGGGGTCCTTCCCTGAAGGGTGAGCTTCCAGCTGCGGTGGAGAAGGGGCTGAAACACCTTGTGAAATGACCTTGGGGAGGTCTTGGGGCAAGACCTGAAAGCCGGAGGGGTGGAAGTCAAATCCAGCACAGCCACAGGAAGGAGGTGGGAACTGACTTCTGGCTACAGTTGGAGTTCCTGGAAATCGACCCTGAAGCACAGCAGATCAGAATCCATCTAGGAACAGAGACCCTAGCCAGAAATGCATTTGGATTTCTAACCAAGAAACTGTCCATGAATAAACCTGTGTTGATTTCTGCCATTCAGTTTGTGATGGTGTGGGCATGGACCGATAGGAAGACAATTAAGGCTGACTACAAAATTCAAATGTGCCAAGGTGGTTTAGTCAATGAAGATTCTGTTATGGTTTTGACCAAAGGATGTCCTAAATGAATAGCACACTAGCTTTAGTGACTTATTGATCATTAAACAACAAATGTCACACAGTTAACGTTTTGGTGAAAAGCGACTAAGCGAAGGGTATGTTTGAAAAACCACTGGTATCAGTTCCATCCAGAGGTGGCTAGGGAGCTATCAGAAGCTGGTGGAGAGCTTCTGTGGAAGATCCCTGGCCTGGTCTCCCCACATTGGCATCCCCTCCAGACTTCCCTTCTCTACCTCAGGTGATAGTGGCAGAGAACTACATCTCCCCATTGGGTTCGGACTCCCTCCCACGGGGCTCCAGGACTAAGAATGACAGCATAAAAGCACATCGGTCTCCCCTGGGTTTTCTTCACGCTGGTCACACTCATTGGCTTTACTCACATGAACAAATGCATGAATTATTCCCAAAGAATGATTTTCCACATATGTGAAAATAGAGGAATATTATTTAAATTCTTATCATTGTCATTTAAAAAATTATACTCAAACTGGGCGTGGTGGTGATGCCTTTAATCCCAGTAGTCAGGAGGCCAAGTCAGACAGATTTCTGAGTTCAAGGAGAGCCTGGGCTCTCAAGAGTTTCAGGGCAGCCAAGGCTACACAGAGAATCCCTATTTTGAAAATAAACAGTAACAACAAAAACATTACAATATTTAGACACAAGACTCTTCATTTTCATAACTTGTTCTTTTGTTCTAAGGAATTGTGAGTTCTAATAGTCATGCAATAAAAAAATAGAACATGTAATAACTTACCTTGTAACTTTTTAGTCTGATGAAGTCAACCTTCATAGAGACAAATCTATCTGAATTTCGACTGATGTTCTTAAGGTGCTCTACCAGATCAGCACAGAATTTGTAACCTCCTTTCAGCACACACAGGACCAGAATATCATGGAAGCCTATGTCATTCATTATATCCTTGGCCAGCCGCTCAATTCTGGAAAAATGAAGAAAAGAAAGATACATTATGGCACAACTAACAAACATTATGACGTTTCATACAGATCGGATCACTCAGGTGAATATGGAGAAAAGCTTGGGAAACAAAGCTTCAGGCGGATAAGTTCTGGTAAGGTGAAAACAGATTCCCGAGCACATCACAGCGACATCACAGCTGCTGTATGTCGTAAGCACTGAGGTGCTAGAGCTCACGCATGCTATCTGTCCTTCCATCATTACAGAACCTGCTTGCTAAACTTTAGAATGTTCTGATGGTATCTGGTGATAGCCTCATTTCACAGGGAAGGAAGTGGAAAGAGAGAGAGTGCCAACCGGCTGTCTTCTAACTTGTTACAGACCTAGACCTATGTGGGAAGAGGGATCTAACTGAGACAATGCCTCCATGAGACTGGCCTGTAGGCGAGTCTGTGGGATGCTGTGTAGATTATGACTGATGTGAGGAGGGCTCAGATCATGTGAGCAGATGGTCCTGGGTGTGGAGAAAAGCAAGCTGAGCAAGCTACGAGGAGCAAGGCAGTAAGAAGCCTTCCTCAGTAGCCTCTGCTCCAGCTCCTGCCTTCAAATTCCCACCCTGCTCAAGTTCCTGTTCTGACTTCCCCCAGTGATGGACTGTTACCTGGGAGTATAGGGTGAAATAAATCCTCTCCTCCCCAAGTTGCTTTTGGTCCTGGTGTTTTATCACAGGAAAAGAAACCGTAAGACAGGGAGTGACTCACTTACCTTATGCTAGAAGAAAAGTAAAGTTCAACGTAACAAAAAGGTCCTATATTCACCAAAGGAACAGAGACAGCATATATGGGAGAGATGCTCCCATGCAATGGCAAGAGGTACGATATGGTGTGAAATCCAATATGGAGGATGCTCCTGGAGGCAAGGAACTGGCCTTGCCTGCTCTGGCAGCTCACTGGAGCTGTCTTCACAGGTTCCTACTCATTCCATATCTACAGGGGCATAGCTACTCCCCCACAAAACTGAAACTTAAACAGAGGCAGGATCTCAAGCATGTACTTCAAAAAGAAAATCCCCACTAACATTTAAAGTTGGATTAGATTAAAAGAGACAAAATTATGTATATATGCATAAACAATTTGATAATCTCTATATTCTGCATATTAGATGGATTCTATATTATACTTTGTAAATGTTCACATATAGAATGTTGGCTATGTTTTCAGGCAGTGTTTATCTAAATTTTTGTTTGTTTTTTTGAAACAGAATTTCTCTATATAATAGTCCTCGCTGTCCTGGAACTTGTTTTCTAGACCAGGCTGACCTCTAACTCACAGATATCTGTCTGCCTCTGTCTCCCAAATGCTGGGATTAAAGAAGTTGACCACTACCACATGGCATGTTTTTCTAAACTTGATCACCAAAATATTATACATCAAATCTTACAAAAGGCATTTGAATTCATAAATTCATATGACATTTATTTATTTAGTGTATGTACACATGTGTAAATACATACCACTGTGGTGTGTGTGTGTGTGTGTGTGTGTGTGTGCACATGTGTATGTGGGGGATTCTGCATGCATATATATGCAAGTGCATGTACATTTGTAAGCCAAGGGCCAACCTAGGGTATCATTTTATGGAAGCTGTCCATCATATTTTTTGAGACAGGTCTCTCAGTGGGTCCTGGAGCTTATCACTTATGATAAGCCCCAGGCTCTGCCTATCTCTCTCACCCCAGAACTGGAACTACAGGCACCAACCTTTTTCCTCCCTTCTGGGGCTCAAACTCATATCCAAAGAACAGCAAGTACTTTACCAACTGAGCATCTCAATAGTCCCCCAAATCCCAATTTAAATGTAAAGACTCAGATTAAAGTGAGAGGCTAGAGAAGAACATGCATGCAGATGCAGAACAAAAGGAAGCTGAAGAGACCATCTTACTTTCAGCCAGAACAGAAGGAAAACGATCAGGACTAAAGATGCTCATTGCATCCTCATCAGTCCCGTTGACTCCTGAGGAAAATGCCAAAGTCCTTACTGTATGCCTTGGGTGCCCAATGACTGATAGAGCAAGGAGAAACAGATGTATCCACTACTGCACTTAGAGACTTTTCACTCCCTCTACTAGGCTTGAAAGATCCAGCAGTTGGAAAATCAATAAGGGTAAAGTTGAACAACCCATCAATAAACTGGTTCCAGCTGATAAGTGTGAAGCATTCTGGGTTAGGAGGTTCTTCTATCTACGTGTTGCTTTCATTGGTTGAATAAAGAAACTTCCTCATCCATTTGATAGGGCAGCACTTAGGTAGGCGGAGTAGACAGAACTGGATGCTGGGAAGAAGAGTAGACAGAGAGCCACCATGGAGCTGCCAGGTCAGACATGCTGAATCTTTCCCAGTAAGCCACGACCTAGTGGTGACATACAGATTAACAGAAATAGATTAAATCAAGATGTGAGAGTTAGCCAATAAGAGGCTGGAGATAATGGGCCAGGGAGTGTTTAAATGAATACAGTTTCTGTGTGGTTATTTCAGGTGTAAGCTAGCAGGGTAGCCAGGACCAAAAGCAGGCCCTCTCTCCTTCAACAGCATTCCACCAAACAACAGAATATACATTATTCTCAAAAGAGTCCAATAAGAAAATGACAAAACCAGACACTGGAAAAATATTTTTAAACCATAACCTGATAAAGGATTTGTATCTAATATATCTACTTACATAATTATACTATATAATTTTATATGATTATATATACATACATACATACATACACACACACATACACACACACATATATATACACACATACCTTTTATAACTCAACAGGAATACAACAAAATAAGAAAACTGGCAAAGGGCTAGGATAAGAACCTTTAATCCCCACAGAGAAAGGTTATGAGTAGCCAATAAGCACACAAATGGTTCAGAAAGTCTAAGATCAAATGACAGGGAGATATCATTGTACTTATAGTAGGTTATCTGTGACTCAAAGGACAGACAATACAAAATGTCAGCAAATATGTGGAGAAAACTGGGAACCTGCTGAACTATTACTGAGGTCACAGCCTCTTTGGGAAACAACCTGTAGTTGTTGAAACTCACTAGGAAGCCCAAAATTCTACCCCAAGAACCCCATTCAGAAGAAACAAAAAGATACATCCACACCACGAAATGTAGAAATGTACATACACTGTTCACAAGTCCAAATTAGAGGTTCAAAGGTTCTCTGCTGGATTGATGATTAGATATTATATGACTTTATTTTCATGACACATTCAGAGAAATTTCAAGGGAAAGAAAGCTGATTAGTTACCTGACTGTAGGTGAACATAATTGCAAGACTGGATAGTGGAGATGGGGTCCAAGAATAAAAATGTACTGATATCTTGGGATCATTTCCCATATTGTGTGAACTCTATTCTGAAGTCTGTACAATGTGTCAAATGTTTGTTTTAAAGATGAAGACTGATATCCTGGGCCCCACCCTGGACCATGACGTAGTATTTTTTTACATAAAGGGTTACAATACATACTCCACCAAGTTCTCTGGTCAGATCCACTGTACAGGGAAAAGGCTAGGGTCCTTTTACCCAGATTTGATTATGCTTTCAGTCAGGGCACAATTAACTAAAGCCACAAGATTCAAGTGAGAAAAGTGAGATTTTGTTTATACACAAGGCCTCCCAAACTGATAGATACTAGGGGAAATTGCTTGTGATGTGTTTGAAAAAGTGAACAAATGAAGTTTTGGTTTTTTTTTTTTTTTTTGCACACATTAAGCTGATGTAATTGCTGAAGGCAAGAGCCTTCATTACAGTTTTGGGAGGCAATATTTCCCAATCTTTAATATGTTAATGAGATTTTGCACTTTGAAAAACTGTAAAATTCCCTAAATTTATTTGATGGAAAATCTTCCGTTTCTAAGAATCAAATATGGTTGCCATGGAAAATCCATCTTAGGCCGTGATAAACTTCGAACTAGAATTTATTTTCTATGATACACTGTGAGTTGAGACAATAAAAAACATACAAGTCTCAGGCAATAGAAATCTTATGCAATCTAGCCAGGCGGTGGGGGTGCATGCCTTTAATCCCGGCACTCAGGAGGCAGAGACAGGAGGATCTCAGTGAATTCAAGGCCAGTCTGGCTAAAAAATGAGTTCCAGGACAGCCAGAACTGTTACATAGAAAAACCCTGTCTCAAAAAACTAAAACAAACCAAACCAAAACAACAACCCAAAGAAATCTTATACAATCTAGGAGTTTGTATGAGTCCTTTTTCTTACTGACAGTAACAATGTCTGGGAAAGTGTCTTATGGATATTTTTTAACTTTTCTTTTGCTTTAAGGACTTGGTTCAGAGTTAAATTTAACCTCACAAGAGTATAACAGATTAAAAAGCAAAAGAGGTAGAAATACTACATATGGAAGAGTGAGCCAGGGGACACCAGCGTTTCACTCCACTGTCTTCCTCTCTCTGGGTCTGGACCTCTGAGGAGTTGCTGATTCCCAGCTTTAGGCTCTAAACACCAGGAAGCTTGACTTCCCTGTGAACATGAACTTATTCAGTCTTGGTACAAGAACAGGCTAGATGGTTCAAGTACTGAGGTGGTTCTGTTAAAGGGCTACACCTACAAATCCAGATCCATGATAGTGACTCAGAGGCAGCCTTTGGAAACCAAGAGTAGGGTGAAGTGCCTAGGACTGACTGGAAGTGAAGGACCGGGAACGGGAGAGAAACATCTGAGCTCTTCACAGAGAGTTTCAAGTTGCACGTTCTGTTATTTTTAAAACATTACCCCTGAAGTAATAATCTGTTCTGTCCCTTTAAGAGACAATCCCATCCCCCTCCCCTCTCCCCTGCTGAGGCAAGCAGATCTTCCTTCCTGCTTGCAGCCTGAGTCTCTTCCTTTTCCTTTTCCGTCTCTCCCCCCCCAAGAGGCAGCTTCTGCCTCACTCCACTCTCCCCACTTTTCCCTTTCCTCCCTCTCTCTGTCTCTCTCTGTTTCTCTCTCTCTGTTTCTCTCTCTCTGTTTCTCTCTCTGTTTCTCTCTCTGTTTCTCTCTCTGTTTCTCTCTCTCTCTCTCTCTCTCTCTCCGCCTCTCTGCTCTTCTCCCCTTCTCCCTTTCCCCTCTATAACCCACTAAATAAATATCCAACTTCACTCTGTATGGTGTGCCTAACCATGTCTCTGTCTCTGACCTGCTGCATGGCTCCTTGCCCTGGACCAGCCGCCTTCAGAAACCTGCAGTGTGGTCTCCTGGTGTGCCCACCTGTCTGTCTCTCCTTGTGGCCTGCTGCAGCCACTTGGAAAACTGCACCATCCCTGCCTGGGACTGGCTGCTCTGGGGACCCACTGTTTGCGACCTGCAGCCACATAGCCCACTGCCATTGCTCAGGGACCTGCAGCATTTCTGCCGCTGCAGCCACCAGGGATCCACAGCATTTTAATATTACCATTACACCTGATAGACACAATCACACACAGGTGACTGTCTGACCTGTGACACACTGCGTGTCCCTTCCAAAGGGAAGGAAAGTTGCAGGGACAGTCAGGGTTTTAAGAGTGTGTCCTGCGGAGGTAAAGTTCACTTCCTAATGCTCCCTGGTTAGCCAAAAATCTGTGAGACAAAGATATTTCTGGGTGAAAAGCCGTTTTTCGGTGCTCTTCTCCATGGTTTGTTCAGGGCACTGCTTATTTGGGTGCGGGAGGGTATTATTTATAATAGCTTATACATGTATATCCTTCTTACTAACCTTCCTGAGTGAACGCCTACAGACACCATTCCGTAAAGACCCACACTCCTTGTGTTCAGATTTGCTACCCTAGAGAAGTTCTCCCAACCACCAAGTAAAGTCCCTAACAGTCCTGTAAGAGTTACACAAGAGGGGGCCGCCCCAATGCAGCGCTGACACAGGATACAGCACTCACCTGTCCACTATGATGCCATGAGGGAGGAGCACACACTCCAGATCGCCGTAATAGTGCTGTGGGTACGTGAACAAATCCAAGTCATATCCTGGCCAGTTGTCCAAAAGCTGTAAATCAAAGTAGTTCGGTTATGGTTATTTTTCATTATTAATTTATATTTTAATGTCAATAACAAGAAAAATCCCATCATTTGAAAAGAGAATAATGTTGAACACAGAGAAAAGGTCTGCAGATCTCAATATATCAATATATTCCCTTGAACTCTGAAAGCTTAGTAAGAGGTTATGGTTTATACAATGTGATAGAACAAGACAGCACTGAGATAACAGTGTGCTCCACTCCTAATTAGGTTATTATTTATGCAACCTGATGAAACGAGGGAGTCGTAAGATCAACGGTGAGCTCCACTCTACTATTGGCAATCACACAATAGAAAATGCAGGCCTAATCCTTTTAAAAATGATTTATTGTATTTATTTACATGTGTGAGCGCCTGCATGAGTTTGGGTGTGCTACATGCATGCAGGTATCCTCAAAGGTCAGCTCAGAAGCCAGAGACCAGCTGACGCCCTGGAAACAGAGTTGTAAGTGGTTGCTAACTAATTGATGTAGGTGCTGGGAACTAAACCTGGGCCCTCCCAAGAGCAGTAAGTGCTCTTAACTACCCAGCCATCTCTCTAGTCCCTAAACTCAATGTCTTATAGCTAACCTGATGGTACGGTATAGAGATCACGTGTATGTAAGCACTATATCGGTGCAACTCAATAACAGAGTGAGCATCCAGCGTATCTGCAGCCCTAAGCTCAGTCTCTAGCACTGTAATTGGTATATGTATAATAAGCATGTACTTTGTGTCTATATTATAAAAAGATTATGACTACATTATACACATTTATAATTGTATATTATACAGTATATGATACGTTCTGCATTTCTCTTCACTATGAATTGCCTCATTTGCTGGGGAAGGTGAGGTACTTATAAAAAGTATATCCCGGGGTCACAGCCAGCCCAGACTTCTCGGTGCCCCCAACAGTGCGGTAAAGACTAAAACAGGAGATTCTTTTTAAAGAACGTCAGCCGGTCTTAGGATGTGAAACTCCAAGAAAACGGGTTTGTTCACAGAACACAGCCTGGTAACAAGCCAGAGACTCTTTCTCTTGCTTGAGACTTAATGCACAAGTTTTCTGGTTAGAATAATGAGATGTGGAAGGAAATGAAGGAGAACGCGGCTTTCCCTTTCACATAAGCAAGAAGGATGCAGTAGTGAAAATGCCATGCCTGAAAACCTTTCTGCATAAGGATTCGTAGCTCTCCTTCTTTAACCATTTTCCACACCGTCTGGACCACCCTGTCCAGCTTTGAGCCACAGAGGGCTTTTACAACACAGGCCTGTGCTGTGTGTCTGCCTCATTTCTACATCTAATCCCTTCCCTTGCCCTCAGATTGGTTTCTAGTCTAGTCATGATTCTGTGTATGTGTATCATATATCTGTAATACTTTGTTAAGTCTGAGCATTTTGTACATGCATGCAATGTATTTTGATCATATTCATCCCCAACTTTTCCTCCTCGCTTCTTTCAGATTGATCCACTACCAACCACTTCTACAATTTCATATTCATTTTTTTAACCCATTGAGTTCAGTTTGTGTTGCCTTTGTACTGAAGGACATGGGGCTGTTATTCACTGGAGCGTGATTGATCTACTAGATGCTATGCCCTTAGAGAAAATGGACTTTTCTTGTCCCAGAAGCCATCAGTGCTCATTAGCTCCTTAGTTAAACTCCTCTCCACGCTATAACGTGGGCTGCATTGATCTGCAGGAAACCACGTGTGCTGTGAATTCATGACTGCCCTCCGGTCCTCCCTGACCTCTGGCTAGTTAAATATTTCTGCTCCCTCTCCTGAGCTGGTTCCTGAGCCTTGAGGGAAGGGGCGTGATGCAGATGTCCTGTTTGTGGATGGCTTCTCCACAGTGACTTATTCTCTTTGCTTTGGGACTCTCTGCATTAGTGGTTAGTGGGCGTCCAGTGTACAAAAGAACTTCTCTGATGAGGTTGAGAGCTGCACTAATCTATGGGTAGAGAGTCAGGATTTTTTTTGGCTTATTTGTTTGCTTTTTGGTTTTTTGTTTGTTTGTTTGTTTGTTTTTCAAGGCAAGGTTTCTCTGTAGCAACCCTGACTGTCCTGGAATTCATCTTGTAGACTAGGACGGCCTTGAACTCACAGAAAGTCATCTGTTTCTGCCTCCCGAGTGCTGGAATTAAAAGTGTACACCACCAGTCCTGGCCCAAGGGACAGGAATTTACAGGTTAGTTTGATACTATATCATTTCGAAAAATAATTGTAAAAGGTTCACTGTTGCAACCTACGAGCTTCCCAATCATGGGTTCTGGGCCATATTTGCAGTACCTGTGGCGCAGGCCTCAAGTTCGTCAGAAGGTGGTGGTTGCACCCATAAAACTCAGGTCACTAGGGTTCCTACAGGTGTACCCTGCCTGCCAATCATTCTACCACATAGTGCACAGCACTTTCCAGCACTATGAACACTAACTGGAAGGGAGGAAGCTTCTTAGTTAGAACCAACTTGACTCTTCCATGCCCTGTGATCAAGGTGTGTGATATTTTCAGCAATAGGGTCTTACCATCAAGTTCTGGTGGCCAACCAAGAGTAATGACTATAGCCTGTGGCGTTCTGGGGGTCTCCAGGACACCTAATTCTTCCCAGTCCTGATTTCATTCACCTCTCTGACACACTGCCCTTGTTTCTGCTCCCTCTGTCTCTATGCCAAAGTTCACCTCCTTCTTGGAAGCTCAGGTCAAGCCCACGACTTCCTGGAAGCTCCGCTGACTGCTCTCACGTTGCTGTCCTCTACCCTATTCCCTTGGGCTTCTCTGCAGCTCTGCTTTAGCAAAGGCTCCACCTCCAGTTCTTTGGGAACGTTTTCACACCTCCCATTCTCCTGCTCTGTCTTATCTGTTCGTGGCTGGTTTAGAGTCCATTCCTGTCACTCCATCACGTACTGAGACATTCCCCACCCCTCTCCTACCCTCCTCTGTATGGAGGACTCAAAACCCGCTCCCTTTGACTCGGGATTTAGAAAGGATGTTTTATAGCACAGCCCGCACCACTCTCATTCAATTTTGGTCTCTAGTCAGACGAAACTCATGCTATTTTTCCCCAAATTTATCCCTTCCCTATCTCAGCATGCTCTTCTAGCTCTTCAGACCAAGACCTTGACATTGGCTTCGTTCCTTCCTTTAATCTTTGTGCCTCAGTAGTTCATCCTCTCCCCAGTTCCCTCCCAGGGTGAGCAGAACCGCGCCTGAGCGAGCTCCCCTGCTCCCTCCCTGTCTACCCTGATCTGGGTCTATGCGGCCATCATTTCAGCCTGGACAGCTGCTGAAATGGCCAAGCCTGCCTTCCTTCTCCCACCATGATAGGCATAGCGAGTGTTGTGGAGTGAATTTCCCATCATGGCATAATCCTGATCAAACTTTTTCAAGGGCTTCTCGCTTCACGATGAGTAAAACCTAGAGTCCTCACTGTGGCCACAACAGTGCCCCTCTCTTGATTCTCTCTCTCCTTCTCTCTGCTCCAACCACTTACTCCTCACTGACTGAATCTGCTGAAAATGTTTAGTATTTTGCTCTTTCTTTAGCCTACAATACTCTTCCTGCAGATGACCACATGGCTTGCATGTTATTTTTCTCCAGTCTTTGTTACCTTTACAGAGAAAACTTTTCTGAGCACAAAGACAAACTGGCACTCCCCTCCTTTCCCATCCTCTTTCTGTAGCCTTTATATCTAAGTTTACTTTCCTTCATAGCGTATATTACTACTATGTGAGTGTGTATGAGGGTGTGTGCACATGAGTGTGTGTGAGAGTGTATGCGTGTGTGAGCTTGTGTGTGCTGTGTGTGTATATGTGTGTGTGTACGTGTGTGTGCATGTGTGTGTGTATTCTGACTTGTCTCACCCCTCTAGGACATGTGTTCCTTCTGGAAGACTTCATTTTACTTTTTGTTCAATCCCTAGTACCCAGACCACTGACCTGAGATCTAGTGTTGAGTACTACAAATACTGAACAATCAAATGAATGAGACAGTCTTTCCCTCATAACTCCAGTCTCAGCCCTCACCTTGTCTCCTCATGACGGAAAGACCTACTCTTCACAGCTCTGGAGATTCAAAGAGTGTATAACATCCACACACTCAGAAAGGGTCACATTTGCTGGACCTTACCAGCACACTGGTTGGTGTGACTGGTGAACGTGTACAGAGCAACACTGGCTCCCACCTGGAAGTTCCAGGAGCCGGCTGTGACCTCTAACACCAGAGGGGCTGCTCAGAATCCAAAGAGCTGCACCAGAATGGCATTCAGTCTGTGCGAGAGCCCCTGGCACAGTAACGATGTTCCAGGGAGGTCATCCAATCACTTTCCTTCTGGACACGTGATGCTACCCCTCCACTTCCTGGTGCTTGTCTGCTGGCACTGTAACCAGTGGTCTCTCAAGCTAACTCCTCCCCAGCATGCGAATCCTTGCAGATCTTTGCCTTGAATTACAGAGATTGCTCTCTATGGCAAGGTCAGGCTCCGCTCTAACTTTTCCTACCACTTTTACAGATTAGGAGACCCTGTTTCCCTTTTCTTTCTTTCGTTTTTGAGACAGGCTCTCACTTTGTAGGCCTGACTATCCTGGAACTAGAGAGGCAGACCAGTCTGGGAGGTAAAATTCACAGAGACCCAGCTGCTTCTGCCTCTGTCTCCTGGGTGCTGGGATGAAAGGTGTGTACCGCAGTGCCCGGTCCTCACTCCCTTTTCTCTAGGATAGAATAAAACCCATGGAGTGGATAGCATCAATAGTGCATGCAATCACTAGTGCAGAACAAGTATTGAAACGCAAAACTCTCCCAACGCACATGCGTGTGCCAAAGAGAAGGAAATGATGATAAAAAAATTATGAAACAAATCTTTACATGAAAATGGTCAAAGCAATCAATAGCTCAGAGCTATCTGAGTAATGGTGGATATCACAGATGTCAAACTCTACCTCCTCTGGGTAATCTGTTAGCTATAGGACCTGGGGCATATTAATATTTCTAAAATAAAGCCAATGGCTGCCTCACATGGCTAGTGTGAAGGTTAAATAGGACAAATAATATAAGACTCACTAGCACATGGTCTATAGTGCTTAGTGACACTGGCCATGTAACTATACTGAAGCATCAGTAGTCCGTATAACTCACAGTCATTTACATAAGCAGGCTTTGACTCATTTAAGGAAAAACCTCAGTGTAATTTTCAAACTCTTACTACCCCAGCTCAAGCAGTGAATTGAATCTGGTAGAAACTGTTCTAACAATCACAAGTGGCCATTGTTTCTGGCTAATCTGAAATGGTGTTTTCACTGCGGAGATAAAACACTCAGAGACAAGAGGCTCTGGGCCTGTTTTCCTGTCTTTGCACACAAATCGTGTTATGAGAAAGTCTATTCCTGAAGGGATGCAGGGTGTCTCTGAACCTTAGGTAATGGATTCACTTGCTTTAAAACAAAAAATAAAAAACAAATCTTTAAATAGTTTCAGGATCACAGATAACATGGTCCAAGTTTACTCCACACAATGCTTTCTCTGTTCAAAGAGGCAAAACATCTCCCAGCTGGAGAAGTGACAAACACAGAAACTGAGTCACCTTATACCACGTCCAAATCCAGAGCCCATCTAACTCTCTTGTTCCCATTTAAAGCACAACGACAACCTGTTTTGTTTTTCTTCTTAGACTGTTTCTTCCCAGGGAGAAAAAGCGGCTCAGAGACACATGGCACAGACTAAGTCTGCTTCCGTCCCCCTCCAAGCTCCATGCACTTGGCCCTGCTCCTCCCTGCAGGCAGACTATTGTCATTGCTTTTCACGCCTGTGCCTCTCTAGCCATCAGCACAGAATCCCAAACAGCAACAGCAACAGGCCCAGCCCCAGAGACCAGCTCTACCGTGTCAGAACAATGGACACAAGAGGTACTGAAAGAAGGGCCCGTGTTCTTCTGCTAACGCAAGGACAGCTCAACAGGCCACAGGACACTTTGGATCCCAATGCAACACCTTCCTCTCCTGCATGCTTTCTCTTCCTCGTATTTATTCTCACATATTGCCACTCCACCCGCATGGGAATGAGGATAGGCGAACGGGAAGGAGAGAGTCAAGCAGAACAAAAGCTCAGCAGTAACTTTGATCTTTCTCATCTTTTCCCAAACTTCGTTGTGTAGGTACTGACTATGGATCGTTTGACAACACATTGATAAAACACAAACTGTCTGAGACCCCAACCCCTAAAAGCCAGGTGGACAGAGAAGATCTTAACCCCTGAGAAATAACCAGGATGTGTGAACTATGCATCTGGTGACTTTACTAGCTTCAAACCAAGTGACAACCAACTTCAAGCAAGATCTCTGAACTCGGTCTACATCTTTTCCTTTAACAATTTTTGTGTGCTACTATTTTAGTCTTTAAAATGCCAAAAGTCACTTGTAGATAAGACCCATTTTAACTTTCCTATTAGTAAATTGTTATTTCATGTTTTCATACATGTGCACTATGTATTCTGGATCTACCTTCCCTCTTTTTCTCTCTGGAACCTTCTGGCCAACCCCTCCTCCCTATAATTACCTTTCCCTATTAGCTTTGGTTTTGTTTTGTCCCATATTGTTTAACCAGGGTCACCTGAGTTTGGACCTCCCATCGGATTCTGGTGGGCAGCCATGCTTCCTTCCCCCTCCCAGAATCTGTGGGTTGCCAACAGATCCGCAGCATGTGACCAAGTCCCTCTTCAGAGCTGACTGTCAGGAGGGCCTGACTTCTGTCAGCACACCCGCTGCTGGGGAGTACATGGCTCCCAAGCCTACATCCTGCTCTTTCCCAGTCCTGTTCCCCATCTTGAGGCTCCCACATTCTTTCTGCCCTCTCCTCCTCAGTGTTCCCTGAGCCTTAAGGAGATCACATCCCTCTTGTGTGTGGGCGGATACCTCAGCCATTTTTTATTTTTATCATCTAAATCAGCCATGGTCTTTGCCCTTCTTTCCATTGCCTGGAAGGGGAGACGTCTCTGCTCACGCACACTTTTTCTGGTAGAGCTGGGCTACGAATGGCTCGAGTTTCTTGCAGTCGCTCTTCTACACAAATCCTGCTTGGGTCATGAGTAAATCGTTCTGCTCCCCTCCCCAGTACCTTTACCCCCGCAGCTCTCCCCACGCAGGTTTTCCTTCCTAGTCATTGCTAAACACCTTGGATGCTCTCCTAAAGCCGCTGTCCTGATCTTTCTAACTAGTCCATCCTGTAGCTCCTCCAACTGCCCCACTCAGTAGTTTTACCCTAGTTCTACATGAGCAACACATTCCCATAAACACACCACTCCCCCAGAGCAGCCCTACCTCTGGAGCTGCAGTCTTCTATGTAGCAGTGTTTGAAACCAGGCTCAGATTCTGCTTCTGCCACCTGCTAGCCATGTGCCTAGCATGACTACATAACGTGGGCTTTATGTATTCTCAAAGAGCCTTCTTTTTTTTTCTGTAAAATAAAGGGTGTGTAGTACCTACTTACAGATTTGTTCAGATTAAATGAAAGACTTGACAAAAATACAAAAGAAATATCCAATAAACCCCTGGTTTTTATTATTTTAATTTTTGTTATTTTTCTGCTAGTATTTTTATCGTTATAACTTCCTTTTGATGTTTTTTTGTACCATCCATAAGATTTTGGATCTGTTTTTCCAGCACACTCATCTTCTCCAGGTTTCCCAGCTTCTCCTTTTCTTCAGCACCTGAATGTTCTCTGAACTTTACAACCTGAGTTCACAGAAATTAACATACACGGAGGGCATTTCCGTCACACACTGGTTATTGTTAATGCCAACCTTGGGGGCACTTTGTGCAGTTTAGCAGCTACCCTTGGGGCCCAAACCCTGCACTAGCTGATACACACAGCTTCTCTCCTTATGCACCTCTTGCTATGACCATGCATTTCTCTCAAGAAGGTGTCTGTTGACACTAATAGATGAAACTGTTATATTTACACCGTTCTTTCACTGACTTTTTAGATTTCAATAATTTACTCATCCTATTAGTACATCTAAATTTAAATCCTTTTGATTTTTAACAGTGGTGTTGGGGGTGGATTTGATGCAAGGCGAATGCTCTGCCTCTGAGGCACGCATTCAGCCGGAACACGCCACTGTTCTTCAGAAGCATCTGGTATTTACCAGACAGTGGTATTCTAAGTATTCTAGGGGCAGCTATTTGAAAGATGCCCCATAATAAAGGCCTCTTGCCCACCCCCATCCTTGCTCTGTTGGTAGCATCTGACACTCTTGATGATCTCATGACCCTGGCATATTCACTTCCACGAAACTGTGTTCTCCTGGCACCTACTCTTCTCTTGGTTTCTCCCATACAGTTCTTCACTCTTGGTGGTCCCTTCAGCTGGCTTTGTGCCACAGTGTAATGCTTGCATCTGGGCCCCGGGCATCTCTTTTAAACAGTTGTTTTTATTTCTTCCATTTTCCACTTCATTCTTCATTTATCCCCAAAATATTAACTAACCTTCTGTTGATGATTTTCCAAATCTACCCTATCACACTCTGGAGTTTAAGTATGGATTTCAAATTGCCAACAGGGTAGCCTGATCTGTGAGCATTATAGACTTAATATGAGAGTTGATTTAATGATTTCCCCTTCACGTCTGGTCTGTCATACCCATGATGACTGGAGTGTTTCTATTGTAAAAACGCATACAATGATCTCTTCTTTGTCCCTGACACTTCTCTGTGCCTTGGGTCCCCATGTTTACCTTCTGTTTATGCTTCAGATCCTGGGTGAAATGTCACAACAACTCTCTGAACATATGAGCAGAGACATCACACTTACCTCCTCCCCCTAATTGTTTTTCTCTTTCCTGTTGTCCACCTGGCTGTCTGAGTTATCTTGACTATGAGTTTTCACACTGCTTGCCTGGGTCCCTCCCCAAGAATGCACATTTCAGGGAAAAGAGCCTTTGTCTTGCTCCATCAGTGGGACCAGACTAGCAGAACAGACTAAAGGCACCCCTCCTTTAAGAAAGGCATGTCTTGCTCTTGAATTAAGAGCTGAACCCCTCATTTCAATCTGAACAGTTCTATTTAAGTGAGAGGTGTTTCCTTTCCAACACACTCATTCTAATTCAGTCCATTCATTTCCATAAACAGATTAACTGCGAATTACACACTGAACTCTGGGAAGAGAATCTTAGTGTCAAGTCAGCCCCACCCACCACCCGCACACCTTTTCACACCAATCCTGGTAGTCATAACCGCCATCCGCTGGAGCTTGATGCTAGGATTCTGGGAGGTGATTACCCGCTGGTTGACACCTGAATCCCCAGAGTTGAACAGGTTCCGATCTGGCCCCACCCTCCATCCTTCCGTTTCGACACTTTACTAGGTATTTCACACATTCAGTTTGCCTTCCTTCACAGACAAGGCGCCGGGCACTCTGGCTGCTGACTTCTGCAGAGCCGCGCCCCAGATTCAAGGCTCCAATTCCATTCACTTGTGCTAGTCTATAGCTTGGCTGCCCTGAAGAATTCTCAGTGGCTTTTTTGAAAACAAAACTTGAAACTCATTGAAGTGAGGAGGCAGCGCTGAAGGGAGGGCCGCTAGAGCTGTACCCTGGGATCTTCGCAGACCCCAACTCGCAGGCCAGGTTCTTTGTGGTTAGCAGAAGTGGAGACCCGAGAGGACGCAGGCTTCCAGGCCGGGAACCCGAGGGAGGGTGGGAGAGGAGGAGTTACTGGGAACTAGTGAGGAGGGAGCAATGTTAGCAGGGGGTTTCGTCAGACAGGGTGGAGAGGGGAGGCCTGAATGCGAGGAGGCAGCGATCTCCGCCCGGAGGAGGAACAAAGCCGTGGTCGGTTCTCACCGGAACGCATTTCGGCTAAAAGAGGATGCTACGAAGGGGGGCAAGGGAGTGAGCTAGGGAGCCCGGGGTCCGGAGTTTGCATTTACCACGACGCCTCGCCCGGAGTCTGGCGCCTTCTCACTGCTCCCGGCCATGTCTCTCGTGGGGACCGCGGGAAGGACAGAAGCCGGGAGGATGTGGAGGCCGGGCTGCACTGGGGGGGAGGGGGTAGCGGGGGAGGAGGGATGGGACGCGGAGGATGTGGCTGGGGCCGCCCCGCCCCCGAGCCTGCGGGCGGGAAAGCTGCGACCTCAGCCGAGCCCCATTCCCGAGGCGGCGCGGGAGCAGCTGTGGAGCAGCGGCTGGTGCACCTGAGCGCGCTCCTGGGAGCGTCCCTGGCGACCCGTGGCCTCTCCCTCTGCCGGCTCCGCACCCCGCGGGGATATGGGGCGGGCCTGAGATCCGTTCTGGGGCGAAAACAGCCTCTTGTCTTTTGCCTTCCCAAAGTCCGCCGCTGCTGCCCCCAGGCCAGCAATCTCCAAGACTCCTCCCTGTCAGGTTTTAAATGCACATTTGTCCCAAGTCAATGCAGAAAAGAGCGGTAATGCTCTGCGTTCTCCGGCTTTGGGAATGGGCTGGAGCATCCCGGAGGGCTTCAGTTCCTGGCGCCCTGCCAGGAGTTGGAAATAGCCAGAGGCTGGCATTTCCTCTGACCAAATCCTAGTGATCTGAACGGCCTAGGGCAGGGACTTTTTTTTTTTTTTAAACAAAATACTGTATCTAATTTACCACTTGAGTCTAATTGTTTCAGGTTGTAGCTGAAGGCAATTGCTCTACTCCGATAGAAAACCTTGTTTTATGAATCTGTTGTCAAACCCAACCCCTAATCCCAGTTTTCTCGGAGCCCGGCGACCTAGTTCTTTGTTCTTTCTTCCAAGGCCTTGCTTTCTGTTTCGTGTGTCTTTAGTCTCCCTCCTCTTGCCAGAGCCTGCCTACGGCCCCCTTGGGGTTTAAAGGCCTCACATGGATAGTCTCTTGATTTAGTCTTCTCCAAAAGATTTTTATTGGGCTAGGGTGTAGCTCAGTGATATAACAGTGTTTGCTTAGGATGTGCAAGGTCGCATGGGTTCTAAGTCCAGCAACAACAACAACAACAATAGCGCGCACACACATACACACACATACACATACGTGCGCGCGTGCACGTATCTTCTTCACCTTTTAGATAAGATCAAGTGCAAAAGAAGTGTTCAATACTCATTTCCTGGCACCCACTGGCAAGATGAATGCTGGTTGTATCTGGTTTGAAGGGAAAATAGTTATCCGTCAATTCATGTTACTTACATTGGAATAACTGTGTAATAATATTGTATTTATGTGATGTGGACAATCGCTTTGGCTGTTAATGTCCAAGAGCCAGAGCTAAGAAAGAAGAGGGGTGCAAGGTACAGGCTCCCCACGTTGTACTTGCCAACTGGCTGTATCGGTAGGTGGTGTTCCCCAGCACAGAGGCCAACCGTTCCAGTCAACTACTTCTGTAGCTGCCTTTCACCCGTTTTTCACTTTCATTCGTCAATACTGGGCCCAGGATATAGTCATAGAAAATATTATTGAAATTTCCAGAAACTGGGCTGGAGAAATGGTTCCGTAGTCAAGAGCAATTGCTTCTCTTACAGAGTGCTCAATTCTCAGTACCCAGATGGTGACTGTAACCACTGTTATTCCTTTGTGGTGCCTTTAAGAACTAACCACGCCCACTCCCAACGACTTCTGACCTCCTGGCCGCCATCTTTAACACTTTCTCTCTCTCTGTCCCCTGTCTCTTGGTGTGTACACACGTGTCTCTGTCTCTCCCTATGTTTTTCTCCATGTCTCTCTGTCTCGCTCTTCTTTAAGTAATAAATGGTTAGCCTTATGTATAGCCTTATGTCCATTTACTCTGCCGTTCACCGCATCCAGCCGCCTGACTGTGCCGCTTGCCCGGGGAACCTGCACTGCTCTGGAAGCCTCTGCCTGGCTCGCAGGCAGCTTGGGGCATCCCAACATCATATCTTTTTAAAGAACAAAAACCACCGTGACTCATTTCCAGGGAATCTGATGCTCTCTTCTAACTTCTGTGGGCACAAGACACACACATGTTGCATACATGCAAGCAAAGCACTCATACATAAAAAGTCTTGAAAAAAAATGTCCAGGAACTGAAAAGTGGTGTTGTTATGCCAACCATCTAACTCTAGAGGCCAGAGAGCAAGTAAATGCAGTTCACTGGCCACAGTCTTCCCACTGGGTATGGGTAGATGTAGGGTAGGATTGTGGGTAGTTCACAAACCATGCTTGTCATTGATGCGGGAGAATTGTCTGTATTCTGTCAATCATATTTTAATAAAATGCTGATTGGCCAGGCAGGCAGTATAGGCGGGAAAACCAGACAGGAAGTAGAGGTGATGCAATGAGAACAGGAGAATTCTGGGAAGTAGGGAGGTTCCTCTGCCATTCCTGCGCAGACCACCGAAGAGGAAACATGTAAGCTGTCACACTGAGAAAGGTACTGAGGCCGTGTGGCTAACATAGATCAGAATAATGAGTTAAGATAAGTCATAAGAACTAATAAGTAGCCTGACCAAATGGGCCAATCAGTTTATAACCTTATGGAATCCTGTGTGTGATTTTTCTTTGGGCTTGCCGGATGTGGGGTACTGGGCGGGACAGAAACCCCAACAAGCCGGCCCCCTCATATTACATATGGCGCCCACGTGGATAACTGAATCCACAGAAAGCTTGAGGAAGCTTGGGAAAGAATAGAGTAAATCATGGTTTCTTGGTAGCAGCAATTTCTTGGGTCTGCTCTGCTTGCTAGAGGCAAGCAAATGCTCTCATCTAAGAGAGGCTTCCTGACTCAGCTTTAGCTGCAAAACCCTGCAGCTCATTAAGAGGTCCTGCCACAAAACACTTAAATGGTGTTGATGAAAAGCTGAATGCATGCTTTTCGGGTTTTCAGCTGTAGCAAGAGAAAAGCTGCGCTGTTTTAAAATGCTGGCTTTCTGGGCTGTCCTGCCAGGGCAAACTCTGACTCTTTCAGGCAGGCAGTCCGACTGAGTGTGGTCTGTGAGCAGAATACTACAGCTTGCTTGATAGCAAGGACCTTGAAATGCCACAGAGTTGTGGCAGTGAACTGCAGCTCTGGCTGGTATCTCAGCCATGAGGCTGGAAAGCTAAGGAATGGACTGGATCTAGCCGTCAAAGCCACGGTTTTAGACTCATGTGGTCAGAAAAAGAGAGATATACAGTAAAAAGAGACTCAAAGATGAAGAAAACCTCTAAATGGTTTACAGTGTGTTAAAAATATATGCAGGCTAAAAGGTTAAAGTCATTAAAAATAAAAAAGAAAGAAAGGGAGATATAGGGTGTGGTGGTACACACCTTTAATCCCAATGCCTGGGAGGCAGAGGCATATTGACCTCTGTGACTTCAAGGGACAGAGGTAGAGATTTACCTCTGTGACTTCAAGGTGTGGTAGCACATGCCTTTAATCCCAATGCCTGGGAGACAGAGACAGACAGAACTCTGTGAGTTCTAGGTGTGGTAGCAAACACCTTTGAGCCCAGTACTGGGGAGGCAGAGACGAAAGGATCTCTGTGAATTCAAGGACAGCCTGGTCTACAGTGTTATTCCAGGACAAAGATATACAGAGAACCTGTCTCAAAAAGTAAAAGTAAAAATAAAAGAAATAGAGGTTAAAATAAAGATGGAAAATATACAGAGAATCTTGATACTGTATGCTGTTATGCTCTCTTTGAATTGTTTGAATGCTGAGCAAGAAGCAACAGCTGCTAAAGGACTGTTGTTTATAAATGCTGCTGAACTAACCCAAGATAGGTATTTTGAAAATACCTTGGCTTCAAAACTGAAGTCAAAAGGTTTGTTACTTTGGAGAAGAGATTTTGCTTTTGTTTCCACAGAAAATGAGAGGTTGTGGATTCATTCTGAGTTAAGAAAAAATCCAGTATGATCAAGGAAGGCCACCTGAGAAATCTCCAACAGGAACAGATGGCCCAGATGTCTGAGTTCTTCATCCAGAACAGGCTCAAGACTGCTGCCTGAGATGATCAAGACTCACAGGATACTCCAGGAACAGATGGCCCAGATGTCTGAGTTCTTCATCCAGAACAGGTTCAAGACTGCTGCCTGAGATGATCAAGACTCACAGGATACTCCAGTCAGGACTTGATGATAATTCTAAATTTTCTTTAGGTCCCCATAAGATTATCAGCGACCCCAACCAGCAGGAAGTAGCCTGAAATACTATGCCCACATTCCCAAAAATGGACTATGGGTATTTTCCTTTGTTTTTTTTTTTAAAAAAGAGGGAAATGATGCGGGAGAATTGTCTGTATTCTGTCAATCATATTTTAATAAAATGCTGATTGGCCAGGCAGGCAGTATAGGCGGGAAAACCAGACAGGAAGTAGAGGTGATGCAATGAGAACAGGAGAATTCTGGGAAGTAGGGAGGTTCCTCTGCCATTCCTGCGCAGATCACCGAAGAGGCAGCATGTAACTTGCCCAGCTGAGAAAGGTACGGAGTCATGTGGCTAATGTAGATAAGGATAATGGGGTAACATAAGTTATAAGAACTAATAAGTAGCTTGACCTAATGGGCCAATCAGTTTATAATTTATAGAGATCTCTGTGTGATTGATTTTCTTTGGGACTTGCCGGCTGTGGGGTACTGGGCGGGACAGAAACCCCAACAAGCCGGCCCTCATGTTACATGACATAATATCACTTGAGTGTCCAACTGCTTCACTGTCAAACTCAGCCTCAAGAATCTCATTGTGAAGCCATAGGACAAACAGGGTTACAGGGGACGGCAAGGCACTCGTCTAGTGGAAAAGCATGTGTTAAAGATGCTCACTGGCTGAAAAATGACAGCTAGAACTTTTCCAAAAGACTGTTTAGACATAAACAACAAAGAATTCACAATAAAAAAAATACAGCTTGCTTGAAGAACAACAAGAATCTTAAGAATTCACGTTCCAGAACATTCCATATATGCCATTGTAGAACGTTCAGTAAAGAATAATGAATAAACTCTTTGAAATATCAAATTTATTTTACTTCCTATCATTAGGTTTTGTGTTGTCAAACTATAATTGGTACTCCGGACCAC